TTGATCCTACCTATCCAAGAACATGGGAGATCCTTCCATTTTCTAGTTTCTTCTTTAATTTCTTCTTTTAGAGACTCGTAATTCTTTTTTATTTTATTTTATTTTATGGGATGGGCTCTCAAAGTCCCTTCTTGCACCAGGGAAAAATACTAATCCACCACCAGAGGCTCCCTGGAGTGCAGAGGCCTCCTTATTGACATCCATGTTCCGGGGTCTGGATCAGTCCTGTACTGGCCTCCTGGACAGCATCTGGGGTCGATGTGGTCTCCCTTGTTCAGGCCAACTGCTTCTGTGGGTTTCTCCAACCTGGTACAGACAGACCCCTTCGTTCTTCATTCCTCCCTCTCTTCAACTAAATTCCAGGTTTCAGCTTGAGTATTCAAGTCATTGTAGCCTCATAAAAAGAGTTTGTCAATGACCCTTCTGCTTCTATTGTGTGGAAATTCTTATGGTACAAGTCTTTCACTTTTTTGGTTAGTGTTGCCCAAGGTATTTTATGTTGTTTGTGGCAACTGTTAAGGGTGATGTTTCTCTGATTTCTTTCTCCACCAATTCGTCATTGGCATATAGTAGGGCTATAGATTTTTTTGAGTTAATCTTGTATCCTGATACTTTGCTGAAGGTGTTTATCAGCTGTAGGAGTTTCCTGGTAGAGTTTTTCAGGTCACTTATGTAGATTACCATATCATCTGCAAATAGTGATAGTTTGATTTCTTTCTTTCCAATTTGTATCCTTTTGATCTCCTTTTGTTGTCTTATTGCTCTTGTTAGAACTTCAAGTACAATATTGAAGAGATATGGAGATAGTGGACAGCCTTGTCTTGTTTCTGATTTTAGTGGAATCGCTTTGAGCTTCTCTCCATTTGGTTTTATGTTGGCTGTTGGTTTGGTGTATACTGCTTTTGTCATGTTTAGATATGTTCCTGTTATTCCTGTTCTCTCCAAGATCTTTATCATGAAGGGATGTTGCCTTTTGTTAAAGGCTTTGTCAGCATCTAGTGACATGATCATGTGGTTTTTCTTTTTCAGTCTGTTTGTATGGTGGATTAGATTGATGGATTTTCATTTGTTGAACCATCCTTGCATGCCTGGTATGAAGCCTACTTGATCATGGTGGATGATTTCTCTTATGCATTCTTGGATTCAATTTGCCATTATTTTATTGAGTATTTTTGCATCAGTGTTCATGAGGGATAGTGGTCTGTAGTTCTCTTTTTTAGTTGTATCTTTGTGTGACTTGAGTATTCAAGTCATTTTAGCCTCATAAAAAGAGTTTGTCAATGACCCTTCTGCTTCTATTGTGTGGAACAATTTGAGGATTGTTCTTGTTCAAGCTCTTGTTTGAATTTCTGGTAGAATTCTGCAGTGAAGCCATCTGGCCCTGGGCTTTGTTTGGTTGGGAGGCTTTTGATGACTGCTTCTATTACATTAGGGGTTATGGGTCGATGTAAACTGCTTATCTGTTCTTGGTTTAATTTTGGTAAGTGATATGTATCCAGAATATTGTCCATTTCCTTTAGATTTTCGAATTTTATGGAGTACAGGTTTTCAAAGTATGACCTGAAAATTCTCTGGATTTCCTCAGTGTCCCTTGTTATATCCCCCTTTTTGTTTCTGATTTTGTTAATTAGCATGCTCTCTCTCTGCCTTTTGGTTAGTTTGGCTAGAGGTTTGTCTATTTTGTTGATATTCTCAAAGAACCAACTCTTTGTTTCATTAATTCTTTGTAATGTTTTCCTAGTTTCTACTTTATTGATTTCAGCCGTCAGTTTGATTATTTTCTGGTGTCAACTCCTCCATGGTGAGTTTGCTTCTTTTTTGCTCTAGAGCTTTCAATTGTACTGTTAATTCCCTAGTGTGACTTTTCTTCAGTTTGTTCATGTGTGCACTTAGTGCCATGAACTTTCCATAAGTTTGGTTATGTTGTGTCTACATTCTCATTAACTTCTAGGATTCTTTAATTTCTTTTATTTCTTCCTCAACCCAGGAATGATGCAATTGGGTGTTACTCAATTTCCTCGAGTTTGTACATTTTCTGCAATTTGTATTTCTGTTGAATTCTGTTGAACCAAATATGACTGGGACAGCATTTCAATGAAATGATTACTAAAGCATGGTGATCTGATATGATACAGGGGGTTATTTCAATTCTTTTGTATCTGTGGAGGTTTGTTTGTTTCCAACTATGTGGTCAATTTTAGAGAAGGTTCCATGAGGCGCTGAGAAGAAGGTATATTCTTTTGTGTTTGGATGGAATGTTCTATACATATCTGTTAAACCCAGTTGGGTCATAAGTTCTGTTAGATCCTTTGTTTCTTTATTAAGTTTCTGTCAGGTGGTCCTGTCTAGTGGTGAAGGTGGGGTGTTGAAGTCTCCTACTATAAGTGTGAGTGGTTTTATGTGTGGTCATTCTAGAATTTTCTACATGCATATTTTTTTATATTCTATTTTTCCACCTTACTCCCTCCCAGTCTCCTCCTCTTATGAGTCCTACTCCCTCTCAGCTTCAAGGTAATTCCTTTAATTGTTATTATTATTATTATATATATTTATATATTAATCAAATATATAAATACAATCTGATGTACTGGGTTAATGGAGAACTAGAACTTGTGGGAGTGGCCAAGTAATGACTAGTCCATCTTAAAGCCCATGCTATGAAATGGAGCCCAGGCCTGGCAATGCCTGAACCGCCAGGAACCAGAAGCTGAGCATCCCAGAATTTTAAGATAGAACCAAATATGACTGGGACAGCATTTCAATGAAATGATTACTAAAGACATTCTGTTATATGCATTGGTAAGTGACTAGCCTAATAGTCATCAGAGAGGCACCAACCAGCAACGTATGGCACCAGATACAGAGACACACAGCCAAACACTTGGCGGCAGCAGGATATCCCCACAGAATAAATGCAAATGGATTGTAGGGACCAGAGTGGGCAAGAACCCTGTGAAAATCTGGAACACAGTATCAACTGAGGAAGGGTTATAGACCATCACAGAAACTGACGTGATAATTGGGGACTCTGAATGGGTTTCAGATAGGGACTCTGAATATAAGTTATAGTCATATGGACGGGTGTTCCTGTGGAACTCCAAACAGTGGATGGGGGGGGACATCTCTGACTCTTTTGGAACCTTTTTTTCCCTACTGTGTTGCCTCTCTCAACTCTGATATGGGGGATAGTGGCCTGCCTATTATAATTTGCCATGCCATGTTCTGTAGTTATCCCTGGGATGCCTGCTCATTTTTGAAGGGAAACAGAAGAGAAGTTGATCAGAGGTAGAGGAGAATTGGGGGTTAGGAAGAAGTGGAGAGAAGGGAAACTGGTTGGGATGTAACATATGAGGGGAAAATAGAAAGGGAAAGAAATACATATTAACAGGAAAACACGCACTGCAAAGGACTCCACTGTGAATGCCGCTCTCAGGTTGAAAGCAGCGTGACCTGCCCTGATGTGAAGGAGTTTTCAGCAAACTGTGGATCACAGCTGTTTAGAAACCAGTTATGTTCACAGTGAAACATGGGCAGGCCCTTCTCCTGCTGCACTTTCTGACGTCACATGGATGAATAGTGTGCAGGCAGCCTTGGGATTAGGTGAATTAGTTAAACGGGGAATGTATTTGAGCATATGAGAAAATATTTTCTCTATGCAAACAATGGACCATTGTCACAGCAGACTCACAAAATCCAAAAGCTCGAGGGATCCTGAAATGAGTTCCCAGGAATTCTGAGGTATCATTATACTTGTGAACCACAACTTAAACTCTTAAGGCCTTTGAGTTTTGGTTTGCCATATTGATGTCTTTATTTGCATTTTAAGACAGACTCACTTTAAATCCTGGCCTTCCCTTGTACACACGTCTATCCCAGGATTATAGGATGAGTCACCACGCTGGCTGTACCTTACTAACTCATCATTTCCACCAAGTAACTTTTCTCTATTTTGTACCCAATCAATAACCCCCCCTCCCGTCTCTGC